TTCCTGGCATGTTGCAAAGACTGAAGCATAGAACAGCATACAAATAAACCCCAATATTTTGAATTTCTGAATAAATTGTATATGTAAATGCAGATGTGTGTATACATAAATATACTGAGAAATAATTGTCATTTGAAGTTATTTTCTTTTTGCTATGTTTCCTTATCTTTTATTTACAGAAAATCATAAAGAACTGTAAAAATCAATTGCCTGTAATCCGATGTTCTAAGTATTTTCCCATCATTTATAGCCAACTTGTGCTATACTTTCACTGAATATAATTACTCTTTCTTGTAAGAGAATATTAGGTACATCAAAACCCACACAGGAGACCTAATTAATGATGCTAATCACCTTCATAGGTTTGTACTGTAAAGCTGTAGTATGTGGGGGTGAACAAACCTTAAAATTAACTTTGAGTATGCATTAGCATAATTTGTTTAAATATGAGGCAATATTTATAATAATGAGAGTGCAAAGTGCTGTAGTAAGCTACAGTGTTAAAATAAATGCAAGACTTTCATTAATGCACAGTAATATGATACTACCTGTTGAGAAATGTATACTAAATTCAATATTCGCAAGAACTGAAGGCATATTAATACGATCCTCTTCTGCTGTACCATAGTATAATGCGTTAACAATATCTGTAAAATGTCACTATATCTTACTGTGATATGGAAAAACTTATCTGCAGCATAGTAAGTTACAATAAATTTGTGTTCTGGGATCCCATGTAGAAAAATACTCACAAACGCACCCGTAAGTTACCAGGAGTTCAGTACCCCTGGAAGATGGGATGATTATGTAATGGGCACAGATGACCTCCTGTCGTGGTTTAACTCCAGACAGCAAAAATACCACGAAGCCACTCTCATAGCTCCCCCCCCTCCAGTGGACGGGGGAGAATCAGATGAAAAAGACAGGGAAACGCCTAAAATTGAGATAAGAACTATTTACTAATTGAATCTAAATGAAGAATATATATATACACAAATGAATATGTACAAATAATACTAATAATAAGTAATTGAAATAATAGAAAAAGCCCCATATGATACAATATGATACAATTGCTCACCACCCACCGACTGATGCACAACCAGGTCCTGAGAAGTGAGAGCTGGAGAGCCCAAGACCTGGAGCTCGAGAGCGATCACAGCAGAGTCTGAGCAAACCCTATCAGTGACAGAATGACTAGGAAAACTAACAGATCCACCAACTCACGAATGAGCCAGCAAAGGAGTTAGCAAAGCAGCTAACAAAGGGAGTGTTCAAAAGGGAAAAGTGTGTGGTCCCCCCAGCGCACTCGCTGCTTACGTACTGAGCATGATGTGCTATGGAATGAAATACTTCTTTGGTCGTCTAGGGCTGTCTGTCTGAACTGTGTGTGTCCTCACGCTGCCTGTAGCAAGAGAAAGTTGGGAACGCAGCTGCAGAATCAGACGCTGAGAAAAACTTTGAATTTGGTGCCAGCACTCCCCAGCACCACCTAAGAAACCACCTTATCAGTGCTTTTCTGTGTGTAAATTCAGAAACCTGGCTCCATGCTACCCACTCTGAAGAAATTTAACTCTTTCCTGACTAAAACCAACACACCTCCACCTTCTAGTTTTTGTTTTTCCTGCAACAGTAAGATATTAAATTACTATGCCCTTTAACAGTTTATGTGGAGAAGTAAGTTTACTTTTGATTTTTTTCCCTTTTTTTACTTTGTAAGGCTTACCTTTTAAGTTTTTTAACTACCTGTGACTTTTCTGCTTTGAAGTCTGTATTTCAGTGTATGCAAATTTTTCATTGGCACCTGTTTATCCTGAAGGTTTATGTATGCAATAGGGCATGAATTATCGGAAAGTCCAAGGCAACTAAACTAAAAACGTTTATTTGGGAGACAAGAGTAGGAATTGAATAACAATCTAATACAAACTTAAGAAGGTGAGAGCAGGTGGTGATTTTACTTTCTTCCCACACACCCTCAGAAGATCGAAAAACTATGCTATTATACAGTTAAGAGTTTGAGGGGAGGAAATAAAAAAAATACATCAGTGCTGCTAGAGGGGAACAAGGGATATGGACATCCTTAGAGGTGGCGGTTTAAACTAGGTTTTGCTTCTAGTGCAGACTGTAGCAGGTGGAGTGGAAGGTGTGGGAAATTGAAATATTTCGTCTCCACAAGCTTGTGAGCAGAGTCAGGAGATCTTGCATATGTACATAACTGACTTTCAACAGAAATATAATCTATATATGTTCCTATTAACAAGGAATCTGCATAAATTATAGTCCCAGGATAGCATGCTAGGGAGTTAGGCACTCTGAACTGGATGGGATTTCTAGTGCAAATTAGACTGAAAATGAAACAGTTAATGAATATATGCACATGTGTACTTTGAGAAGTTATGTTCCATTTTTTCAAAGTTTTTTTCTAAGGTAAGGCAATGAATGCTTATTTCCACTAATAAATATATCCAGTAAAGACAAAGGGGAAATTGCCTAAATAATTTTATGGATTTTATTATCCCTTGGCAAAATTAAAGCAGCAGATTTGTAAATACCATCAACTCTCCCTAATGACAATTTTTACATATACTGGACTGCGTGGTGTTTGCCCTATAAACATTAATGGTGGTATATCAGAATAGTACCAGGAGCACAAGCTTTGACAGTAGTCATGAAAGGTGTGATTAATAGAATGAATTCATGAATTCAGCTGTTAGCTCAGGACATAATTCTCATTAATCTGAAAGTAATTTGTTTTAACATGAAATTCGCTGAAACATTGGTTCTAGGCATTACAAACTACTGAAAAAAACTGAATGGAAGCATTCACTTTTTTTGTTCTCTGTTTTTGTTTAAAATGAGGACAGTAACACAGCATCCTGATGTGTGGTTCTTTTTTTTTTTTTTTTTCCCCCCTGACATAAGCAATAAATTATTAACTTACATATTTATGCAAAATTTTTATGCTAGTAAATGTGCAAAGACACCCATGGAACGATCAGCATTCCAGAAGACGCACCATTTGTTCGGCCTTCTGAGCGAGTCAGGGGTTCTATGGCAAACGGGGTGTGGTCATTTAGATAATGGATTTGTTGTAGTTGATATGTGTGATGTACGGATGAAAAGTGTGTATGAGAAAGCTCAACGCTATTCTTTCCTAACTTTTGAAGATGTGACTTTTAAACTTTGATTAGTAAGAATATTGTAACGTGTGTTACTGACATCTGCCTCTCGTTTTTGTCCTTCCTGGTGTTCCTTTCCTATGGCATTTATTGGTTGTGGCCTGTCATTTCCCTCTACAATATGTCATACATACATATGAAGATAGAATGACATAAATATGGTTTGGTTAGAGCACAGCTGTAGGACTGTCTAACTCATATATGAGAGTAACTTGTATAGCATATCTTTTCTTACAAGTACGTAAAAAATATCCCATTTGGCTCTTCATCCATCTCCATGCCTTTTCTGGTGCTCCCTCACCTTTCCCTCATCATAAAAAGGCTAAATACTAGAAAAAGGTGTGTTTTTACTGTATCAAAACCTGGAAACACAAGTTTTTTAGCCTTCTCAGCAGTATCATCTTCCTAAAGTTGATTTCTGTTTAACAGGGAATTAGCCAGATATTGCAAGCACTGTAGCAAATTCCCATTTCATCTGGTTTTCGTTTTGCCAGTTTCATGGTTTTGGGTCTGAAATCAAGGGATCTGCAGACCATGTTCTGGTGAGCTAACAGGCTTCTGTGAAACTCATCTGTCGTCATCTCCATGAAGAAATTGGCTCTTATGTGGAAGGAGTAAAACACACTATTTTGAAGACATTAGGTTTTCTTCTTTGTGTGTTTAAACAATGGCAACTCTTTGTCAGGCTGTGAAAATAATTGAGCTAATCTCAGAAGAGCTTGTCATGCATTTTGTTTGCAGTGACACATATGTGCTCATACAGACACCTAAAATACAAAATTATTTGTTTTGCTATCTCTTTCATTAAATATTAGGAGAGGATGTTTCTATACTTACTAACCTGTAAGCTTTTTCTTTTGTGTGTTTTTCTTGCAAACTGAAAGATTAAACTTTTTAGGTTGTCTTACAAGACACCATGCAGATTGGTTTCTAAATACAGGGTGTTCATTTGTTGCGTGTTACCCCCCGCCCCGGCCCAGAGTTGTTTATTTTTTGTTGGCTCTTCAGCAGGTGGGAATGACTGAAAATTTGGTAAATCTCATTGCAGGTTTTAGAACATCATTTTGATAGTGCAACAGATACTGAAGTAAGCACCTTCCTTCCTGTATGAGGGAAAGAAAATGTGCTTTTCCATCTTAGGGAAAAGTGCCTTGCAGCAGTTAGCAAGACGATGAAATGGGGTAGAACACAAGGAAATGGGAGGTGCTGTCACTGGAGGGTAGAGCCTGTCCTGCTGGCTTGTCTGAGGCTGACTTGGCAACAGTAGAGGTTTTAGAGTCATCTGTTAAAATGTGATCACCTTCTTAAGAAAAAGCTGGTGCCTTCTCTCTTGGCAGTCAGATGCTTTTGATATTTATTATTTAGTAAAGTTAGCAGTCTCTGTGTTAATTAGCGTAATTTATAATATGACTGATATTGTTGAAATTTTGAGAAGTGAGACATTGAAGTTACATATAAAGGAATATTAATACGGTAAATGAACTCATACTTTGAAAAAATTCTGACAAATTAAAAAAGTATGGATTTCTGACTTGCTGCAAGCCAGTCTTATAAGCTTTCTTAATAAATAAATCTTCTGATACAACACTCTGTTAAGCAACATTTTGAGTAAGAGAGCCAAACCAATGACTTTTTTTTTTTCACAAAAAAGGTTAGATACTGTAAAATACATTTAAGTTGCATGTATTTATAGATATATAATTTTTTCTTTCTTTCTTTTTTAAAATCTTGCTAACAGCTTGTCCTGGGACATATGTATCTGAAATATCAGTGTGTCTAAATGATAATCCATCACATTACAAAATATCATTGTCTGGTACGATGAAGTCACCAAAAATAAATTTTGATCCCCCCTTTTTACTGCTGATGCCAGTTCCTCTGGATGTGAAAACTGAAGCCACCATCAATATCATTCCACAGGACTATTTAAGGTAAAAATTTCAAAATAAATTTATTGCATAAATACTGATTAATTTTTGGTTTTGTGATTTTCTGGAAAAGTAAATTAATTTTTTGTTTGTGAAGGTTAATATTAATTTTCTCCTCAGCAGAAAAGAGTCTGCATATTTAAGAGAAAATTCATGTAATTGATTTTGCTGTACAGTCAACAAGCCCGTGTTCTGTCCACAAAACCTTCCTACTTCATGAAGTGGCCATTTTCTAATATATTCACTTTGTCATATGCTTTTAAAATTACTTTGTATAGCACAAAAAATAAGAAGAGTACTGCCAGGATTTTTTTTTAACTTTAGCCGCATACTAAGGTCATAGCCTTATTTCTTTTTTGACATTGAGATGAGACAAAACTTTTGTGTTGTTTTATTTTCTCTACTGCACAGGTCATAAAGCACTGGCTGCTATTTGGACAATTGGTGGAGTTGTGGGGGTTTTTTTTTCTTCCTAAGCAAGAATTTAGTACCAAAAAAACCAGCACAAATGTTTTAATCCTGTCAATATAATTAATAATCAATATATTTTTTATTTTTCTGTGGATCACCCGCTTTATACTGTTATTTGAATTTATGATAGCTTTTTTGTAGTCTTCATATTATGTAAAATAAACCAGCACCACACCTATTCCAATTTGATAGAAATATTAATATCTTAATGTTTCCAAGCACTCTTGTGTATATGCATACAGACATACACTTTTCTGGTGTCTAAGACACTACTTTTCTGTTTGCAATTATTGAAAAGCAATAATGTTATTTTGATATCTATATAAGCGTAACATTTCAGTATCAGAAGAACTGGAGCAAAATTCTTTAAGTCGCAGAAAATTAATGAAATTCACTTTAGCTTCGAAGTATTAATATATTACCCCATTTGAGTTACAGTTATTTATCAAGTCATTTGTCTCTTGTCAGTAGTTCAGTGGTTGGACCTGAAAGGATTACATATGAGCCTGATGGCCATTATTATTTTGGAACTGGAACCTAAAATTACGTAACTGGGGAAAGAATTTTAAGCATCTTCACAAACTTCTCCTTAATATTTTTGTTTTAAAACTCTCTTTTTGTGTACTAATGCAGTTTAATCTACATTAATGAAAGCTTTGGGTTTGGGAAACCTAAAGTAGGGGATTAGTATTTGTGTCCTTTGTAGCACGGTTTAGTAGAAATTGCTCTTCGTTTGGATGTTGAACTGTTGTGGGCCAGTGTAAAATCTTAGGATGCATATGTAGAAAACAAAATGGCATCTAAATACTAAAGGAATTTTAATTCTTTAAGTTTCACTGGAGTTATACATCAAAACTGAAGATATTGTTCTGTATTTAACCTTGAAAAACAGTTTCATAAATGTGTGAATCTGTGAATTAATGTTATTACTGTCAGTTGGTGAGCACAAACACCATTACTATTTATTTTTAACACAGGCAATCACGAATTCAAGTTGAATTTCCAGACCTTGAACTTGAAGATGGTGACAGGATTTACCCTTTTACTGTACAGTTCCCAGAAGGACAAGATATTGTTCTTTCATCAGATGGCACAAATAAGGAACTAATTTGTCATATTGGCTTCAGATCATCTAGGCCACTGTCACTTTTAGTGACTGTGGTATTCATTGATGAAGAAGAAAACAGGTAATGTGTGCAATTCAGATTTTTTTGGGGGCAGGGTCCAAGCTGTAGAACTTGAATATAAGACACAGAACTCATAATGGTTTGGTAAAGGTATACAACAATCATTGTGAAAAAATGAAAGTGAAACATAGAAATGTATTTCTTTTCAGCTGAATTACAGTTAGAAAACACAAAATTCAGCTCTGGTGTCTAAGGTAAGACTAAGGTCTTGTGTATCATTCATATCTACTGGTAATTCCTATCAGTCTTCTCGGGTTGCTTTGGAGAGACACGGTCTTGTTTTAGCATATCCTAATGGTTTCAATTACAAAATATTTTGCTTTTTTGGAAAATACCCAGTTAACTTGAATAGTAAAAAATAATTCAGATGATCTCCCTTGCCGCCACTAAATGGAGATCAAATCTGTTATTAAATATTCTGTACAAAAATAACAGTTTTCAGCATTTGTCCTTTTATTCAATGCTTCCCTGGGTGGGATGAATGGGGTTATTCCTGAAGAGGAAAGGTAAGTACCGTTGTGGTTGAAAGTCACTCCTGCTGTTACTATTTTCAGTAAGGAAACTATTTTGAGGGTTAAATATCTCTGTCCTACAGCTTAGAATGGGATTCTTCCTGAGCATAAAACTAGATTTTATATTATTTTGATGCAAGAGACCTTTCAGTTATTGCTGCTTGCATTGGATTAGTGTCTTATATTTTTCTGTATAGATTGTCAGCCAAGAATCTATTCCATATTCAATTTATTTAATTCTAAGATTTAATCATTGTATGGTATGTGATTCATAAATGTGTGCTAAGGCTTCCAGTAATTATGAGAAAAGGATAATTTAAGCTCATGATGAGGTCTGAAATATAGCTGCTGAGCAGGCACAATAGTTTTAATAACTTTTTATGTGATGCACTAGCAGTTTCTCAAACCTTGTTATAGAGAAATAATCCTTTCTGCTGTGTTATGAACTTTTTTTTTCTACATTTGCCATTGAAAGGAAATAAAGGATACCATCCTCAATTTAAAGGCAAACAGTGTGGTTTTGAAAAAAAAAAAAAAAGTAATCAAAGTAAGCTTAAAAGACATCCCTGCTCACTAAAGTGGAAAAAAAATCATGCTCAGAAATGTCAAATATTCTTAAAATTGCTGTTGTGTTTTAAAACATAGTAGGTAGGGATTTATTAAAGGACAAAACTAATAACACTGGTTTGCCAGTGCAGTTGCATGTGTCCGTGGGCTGTAAAAGCAGATGGTATAAAACTTGAATACAACTGCATGAAATAGCACACCGTCCATACCAAAGAGATTCTGGGTGTGCTATGAGTCAGTGTAGTAATAGTGTTCATACTGGGTTTTGGAAGAAATTATTTTTATCATAGCCAGAAAGACTTTTCCAATTGAAGGAAAGAATTCTAAGTGCTGGATTCCCTAATCCTGAGCATATTGTTATTATTCTAATAAAGTCTATGATCATTCACCCAGACTTGGGTTTTATTACTACTGTTAATATTACTATGTGCTTCGATATTCCACTCCACAGTAATCTGTAGCTGCAATTTCTTGTTCTCTGCATACCTGCCCTCATTATTCCCAGCTCCCCGCCATGGGAGACCTATGCAAAGCATTCAAACTTTAAATCTAGTTCAACCAATTATCTAAGCATTTGAGCAGTTTGTTTCAAACTTTGTAACTAATAAATTTAATTGCTTTGTTAATTTGAGTCTTTTAGGAAGACCAGATTTCAGGGCTTTCTAGATCTTTAATTATAAAACAATGAAACCTGTAACCTTTTATAACACCTATAAAAGCTAACTGGTCTTGAATAGCTTCCTGGTTTAATAGACTGTGAAATATCACAGCACCAGTTGCTGAAAAAGTATTAATTTGTCAGGTGTTCTCTCTTTATATTTCCATTTTCAAAGTAATAATATGTATTTTTAAATGATTTGAACTAAAATTTTGAACTTCAACTCATATTCTGTGTTCTGGGATGGAATTAAAATAAGTGAGTTAAAAAGTTATATATATATATACGTAAAATATTGTGTCCTTTATTTAATTACTTAGAGGAACCTTTACTTTTAAGTAAAAATAAATATAGGCATATATTTATATATTTTTATAGGCAAAAATAACTACAGGCATATTTTCAAAGCATGAGTATTGAGGTGGCAAATACTCTTTTTTTTTTTAAACTTAGGCTCTGCGGTGTGTTGCTTTTTTAAATTCAGGTCTAAAACTTGAGTAGGATTGATTTGCATAGTCCATATTAAGTCCACCTAATTAATAATTTTTTTTTTTCTTTAAATCAGACTGAACGTTGGGTAGAGGATAGATGTTATTGAAATTGGCTACTTTACAGAAAACATCTGAAAGATGATAAGCAATCATGTTTTACAGTAAAACCATGCTATATGTACTATATAGCTGTAAAAGAAAACTGAGGAGATATATGGTTGTCATTTATGCAAGTAATTTGCTGTGTGCACAGATTCCATTAAATGGATCGTAAGAGAGTGCATTAATATTTACTTAATGACTGCCTTAAATGAGAATTTGCAGTTAATTTCTAATGGTATTTTTAATGTCTTCTCCCTTTTTGCTCCTTTGACTCCAAAGCAGAATAAATGACATTTTCTTGCAAAGGGTTGATAGGAATACAGAAGTAGAAGAGACCTTAACATCCGAGAATATCTTGAACAAGTATTTAATGAATGGGAAGAAATATTTGGTTATGGCTCTTATTTCCTTCAACTTGAAAAACTAAACCAAAGAAAAGCCTCTGCTTCATATATTTGTCCTCTAATTCTTATTATATCTTTTAATGATTAGCTAATTTTTTATGAAAGTTTTCTGCCATCCTGATTTAAATGCCATTAAACCTATTCTTTCTAAAAACAAGTAGTAAACAACAGGTATGTGTTGTGTCATACAGTCAAAGGAAGTGGTGCTTAGGGCAGCAAAATATCCAACCCCCCATCCTAGATGTGTTGCTTAGATAAATTGCTGTGATCATTGATGGCACAAATGTGCTGAGGTTATTGCCTCCCTGTTCTGCAGCTCTCCGTTTTCTTTCCCTCTCCCACTGGGGTTCTGGGGAAACACACAATTTCTGATGTTATTCATGTTGTTCATGTCTGGAACTTCAGGAAGAGACGATGTTAGGGACCTTTACTCTCTATAACAACATGATGCAAGGGAGACACAGTCACTAAAAGGTACCCAGTTATGAATTGGTCCCAGCTGGTTTAATTGTCCAGGAGATCTCAGTGTCTGTCTCACAGGGGGAGACACTAAATCCCCTCCTGCTGTTGGGAAAGTTCCTAAAACATGCAGCTCTTTAACAGGCATGCCTGGCAATTGTCAAATACATGTATTCTGCTGGCATGCCTCAGAGAATAAGAGCTGTCAATTTCTTTCAATACCATTGAAATTTGGAGAGAGGAGGGAGCTAGAAAGCATGGGAGTTCTTGATATTTACATGCTGCTTTCCTGCATTCATCTGAATAATTGGCATTTTACTTCAGATAGTTTAGAGTGCTTTCGAAAACCAGGATGGTCCAAACCCATTAATCACTCCTGTTCTTTTCGGTGCTTGTGACTTTCTACCACTTTGATGGTCCCTGCCAGCTGAAGTGTCTGTAAGTCAGGAATTAAGAACAAACATCATTGCTGCTACTACAAAAACATGGCTACTTGGACAGCTGTAAGTCTTGAACGTCATGTGCAACCGTGCATCTGCCACTATTCATTATTGTATTCCTTTGATTGCTGTGGAAGCCTGAGCTCCTGCTACAAAGGGTAAAAGCTCCTCAGTGCTGGGGAGCTGCTCATTTGTGAAGAGCAATGGCAGAGCTTGCATGGATCAGCTTTTATTCTCCCTTCCAGTTCTGCCATCTCTGGATCTGTTCAAGAATTTCTGGGGGGAGGGAGGAGGGCAAGTCTTTATTTAGGTGGCTTTTTGTTCCCTGCATCTAGGTTATTCCTTGTTCTTAAAGATGTGTAAAATGCTTCACTCTCACATCAAGTTTCCTTTTACCACTAATATATATATATTGATTCAGGTTCTTTTGTCTTTCCACAAACTTTAAAACAAATAAAAAACCAGAACAGAGTTAAGAGAAGTGAACGAACTGCTTCATAGTGCTAGATGGTATTCTTTTGTCATCACAGTTGGAGCTTTTGTTTTGGGGATCAGCAGGTTTCAAATGTAGGTCAGCACAATATATTTAATGGCCATTCTGCTCTGTGTTGTTTGGAAATGTACGTTAGACAATAAACACTGACATAGCAGTGGGAATGGTGGTTCATGTGGATAACTTTTTTCTTGCTTTCTTAAACGTTATAAAACTGAATACACTGAAGAATTGAACACATTTAGTAACCTCACATTTGCTAGCAATACAGGTACCTTTCATTCTAATGGGGAGGCACAGAATTTTATGTTATTTAGTTAAGCTGTGATGAAAATACAGAACAAATATGTTGCATGAGACTTATAACTTTGTAACCTCACTTCATTAATGGTGTTATAAATAAAAGACAGTGGTACAAAACGATTTTTTAAGCACATGCAGAATATACATGTCTTTGTAATCTTTTGGCCATATTTGTATGGAAATAGGCATCCTTTTCTATCTGGTGCCCTGTATCTCAGTACCTGAAATGTGTATCATAAATACATTTCTCCTAGCACCCTTTTTTTCCTGCTATGCTTCCTTATGGATGGAGCGTCATCTTTTAAAACTCAGATGAATTCATCTACAAGCTCATTCTTCTTGAAGCTCTCTTTCAAATTCTACTTTTGGGAAAATACCATATTAAAATGCTTGATGATCAATAGTGGACAGGTAGCCAATGAGTCGATATTTATTATCACATAATGGCTGAGGTTGGAAAGAGCTTCCAGAGATCATCTAGCCTCCTCTTCAAATACCCTGCTCAAATCGAATCAACAATGTTGTCCAGTTGGTTTCTGAATATCTCCAAAAATAGAGACTTCACGACCCTCTCAGGGCAGACTCAAGCTCTTTTCCCTCAACAACATGACTGAAGACTACCAATGCCCCATTCCCTTGACCATTGCCCCCAAAGTCATGCTGGTTAAGTTTCAGGCCTCCTCATCAACTTCACTGGTGCCCATGTGGAAGAGCAGGAAGGCCAAGGGTTGGGCAAGCTGCATCAGTCTCTCAAGAGATGAAGGGTCAGGTTGGCAAATGAGGCTCCCTGTCCCCTGCAGCAGGGATTTACTCACTACTATCACTTGCAGTTTCCTGGTGTTGCTTCACAGCTCAGGCTCATGCTCAGCCAGCACAGGTGTTTCACTGTCTAGTGTTCTTTCATCTTATGAACAATCTGAAGCTTCTAAATTTCTTAGTTAAGAATGTATTTGCATTGCATTTGCTGTTGGCTGGGTGTATGCATTTCTCTTACTGCAATACTACAGCAGCCAAGGAGGCATGCCTTTGTTGGATTGTTAGCAGCCTGGAACAGGGAGGAGCTTCTCTTGCAGCAGCACTGTGAGGTCTGAGGCATTTATTCGTACAGAGATGTTCTGTAACAGTGGCTGTGGTTTATATTCTAGGTTGTGCAGTAGTTGCTTTGAGTAGTATCACTCATTGAATTTGAGTAACTAGTTAAGAGGTACTGCAGTTATTCTCAAGCACACTTTCCTGTGTTTCATTACTCTGCAAATCAGAGCATGAATGAAGATTTGGTGTATGGTCAAATCGCAAATCAGCATTGAGAATGGAGATGGCTGGGGTGCTCACCTCAAACTGAGAAATTGGAAAGTTGAGTCCAATAATATAGACATCAGGCTTACTTTCATATAACTTGGGCTGTGTCTTTCATTAACTGTCATAGGGCTTTCTTCCAGCCTTCCACAATTCTGTTGCCTGAAGCTAACCTAACGTATGCCTGCAGAGTATTGAAAATTTTTGCGTATCACAGTAAAGTCACAAGTTGGAAAATTTTCTGCAGTGTAGTTATTGATCCTGTATGTTTTTAAATGGCTTGGTAAAGGTAGAAAAAACGTAATGCTCTGACACCTGTTTTGGACATGTACAAATGTACGTTTTGGACATGTACAAATGTACGTTTTGGACACATAGATGTAGATATATTGCTCAGCCATCTGTCCTGCTGACGTTCTGCTCCCGAGATTTTTCCTGAATAAGACAAGGAAGAAATACTATGCTACAAGGCGAAACTGGCTAAGGCTATGTCTCACTCCCAGACAAGTTCCAATAGGATTGACAGGTCCTAAGAAAAAGACAAAACATTGCAGTGCTGGATTATTGATTTAAATAACTGATAGCTGTGAAATTGGAATCCAAATGTGAATATTTGTATAGATGACTATGGATTTTGTTGGAGTCTTTCTCTATTTAATAAAGTTCCCATGAGAGTGGTGTTTGAGAATGTTGAGTTTGGAGAGGGAAGTATGAAAGAAGAAAGAAAAACTGCTTTCTGGTTCTTTAAAAACATTTCTGTTTTCCTTGATTATGTTGTTCTATAACAAAGCAGTAGATGCTATAGTTATATATATAGAATCATAGAATCATAGAATCACTAGGTTGGAAAAGACCTTAGAGATCATCCAGTCCAACCGTATCTGTCCACCACTAAACCATATCTTTCAGCACCTCATCCACCCGTCTCTTAAACACATCCAGGGATGGTGACTCCACCACCTCCCTGGGCAGCTTGTTCCAGTGCGTGATAACCCTTTCGGTGAAGAACTTCTTCCTTACGTCCAATCTAAACCTCCCCTGGCGCAGCTTGAGTCCATTCCCCCTCGTCCGATCATCTGTCATTAGGGAGAAGAGACCAACACCCACTTCTCCCCAACCTCCTTTCAGGTAGTTGTAGGCAGTGATCAGGTCTCCTCTCAGCCTCCTCTTCTCCAGGCTAAACAAGCCCAGTTCCCTCAGTCGCTCCTCATAAGACATATTCTCCAGACCCTTCACCAGTTTTGTGGCCCTTCTCTGGACACGCTCCAGGACCTCAATGTCTTTCTTGTAGTGAGGGGCCCAAAACTGAACACAGTACTCGAGGTGCGGCCTCACCAGTGCCGAGTACAGGGGGAGAATCACATATGTTATAGTTATAGATACAGTGATAGTTATAGATATGTTATAGTTATATCATATAAATCAACCTGAAAGGTCTTGTGATACCTTTCAATATTAATCTAAATTTACATTAAATAGGAATTTATCTGTCAATATGTAATTTAAAGAAAATAGAAAACATTTTCTTTTAATCTCTGCTGGGTATGTTTCAATATGCATAGTTATCAATATACTAAACAAAGATGGATATCGGCATGCTAAAATAAATTTTTCTTTGTATTTTTGACAGTTTAGTCAAAATGATTAATATTCATTTAAGTTAATAAGTTAATGTGGAGTAAAAAAACACAGCTATGTAGTAACATAGGACTAAGCTCAGCTGAATTACATGTCAGTTGCAATGAGCTAAGAACGTACATACAGATGGCTAACAGGGATCCACTGATGGAAATAATTTGCTTGTTGACTGCAAATTGAGAGACTGAGGTGAAGTATGAAAAAAGGGTTAAAAGGTGGACTGCTTCACATTAACATGGGTGGTACAGACGCTCCAATGAACATTGGAGCATGTACATCAATTTCTGTTGTGTTATAGCGATTGCAGTCAATATCTCATTGTTTTTAAATTGAATCTATTTATTTATAAATATTTATTTTGAGATTTCTGTAAACTCTTATAGAAAAAACATTAAATCAAAATAGAAGTTGCTTTTCAAGAAAACTTATTCTGTCAAAAGTTACAGGACATATTTAACAGGTTAGCAGTCTCCTTTAGGACACTCATAAATGTCAACTGTAATTTTAATTGCTTTTCTTTTCAGACAGACAAGTTCATTTATTTCATGAAATCTCTGCTAAGTTTTAGACTTTGAGATTAATGATACATCCATACTCATAGTAAAACTATGAAGTAGAAAAACTATACCAAACTTTACCATTTTGGCATTTGCAGTCCCATATGTGTACTCTCCTATTGAACCAGAGTAGAAGAAATGTTGTCTAGACACCTTCATTCTATCTTTTATTCTTATGCTAAAATATCTTAGTTTTCTATTTAGCCATGGTAACTGTCACTCCTGTGTTTTGTTTTGAACAGGTTCTCAATTCAAGTTGCTGCAACAGCAGAGAATTGCCTACTTACTTTATACCCATATTTGGCATTTCACAGCTCTGATCAACAAATTATCTTGAGAAGCAGTAAGCAGTCAACATTTTACCTCTTTTTTCTAGTTAATTACAAGGGGATGCTGCAATTAAACTTTTAAATTTTAATTGCTTCTATTTTCTTATTGAAAATGAAGAAAACTTTTGTTAATGATTAGGTATGTTTATTGAAAAATCAGACAAGCCTAAATCCTACAGAATGTTTTGTGAAGTTTTGAAATTATGGGTAGAGAAAGCAGCTGCAGCAATAGAGAATAAATAAACATAATATATTGATAGATAGTGATTACCAGTAACTCCTAGGACAACAGTTGGGTATGTTTTGAAGAAAGCCACTCAGTGTTATGATAAAATGTGATAATTATTTGCCTGATGAGAATAGTTTTCAGATTTTTTTAATTAATACCCTTGAAGGCTGGAGAACACTGCCGTGTTTTAAGGCCTAATAAAAGGCTGTGGTCAGAGTGTAGAAATAGTTTTATCTGCGATGTGTCTCTCTGCTTCCCTCCCTTGGCTTTGCCTCTCAGCCTCTGCCTGTCTGCCTGTGTCTTCCCTCACCCTCCGGACCCATCTCTGCCTGCTGCCTGCTCTCTCCCCTGCCTCTTTTTTCCTTCCTCAGTGATCTGTAATGTCTGTGTGTGTAGCTGTGCTTACGGGAAGAGATTAGGATCGTTGTATAATTGATGTAGGAAGGGATCTCTGAGGGTCATCTAGTCCAACTTCCTGCTCAAAACAGGTTTATTGTCATTGGGATGTGATATATTTTGATTAAATAGACAGGTTTTTCAGGTAAGTAATTAATTCCTTAGATCTGAAATAGATTTAGCTATAAAGACTGAATTCTAAGACAGCATTAACTTAAAATATGTTACTTGTGCTAAGAGAAAAAGAGAGTTGGTACTTGTGAAGTTGAAAAAGGGATTAGCAAGAAGACAGGTACTGACCTTTTTTTTTTTTTTTAAATTCATAGGGAAGACAGGTGTAGGTACAATATCACTCACAAGTAAATGAAGATAGGAAAGGGGGAAAAGTATTAGCCATTGTAAATATGTGGTTTAAAAAAACTTTTTTTCTGTGAGCAATAGATCTTTTTTACCAGCTTGTCTTTTGAAGACGCTTTGTAGGTTTCCCTTGAGGATTAAGCCAAAAATGGAATGATAAATTTATAAGAAATGATCTCCTATTAATAGTGGGATATTTCTATCCTGTATCAATTGCTTATTGGTTTGTTCATACTATCATTTTTTATCAGTTTTGAAGCAAGTCATTATTACTAAACTACTTGAGTCTATTTTGTATGGACTATTTTGGTGCAGAATGCTGTTTAACGTGACCAAACTGTATCTATCTATACAACACAGTGGCTTTGAAAGCTATTCAGGAAGGCGTTGTATCCGCATATCTGACACCATGCTCTAGTGTTATTTGCTCCAAAACATACAGATGAGAGTGCCAGCAATCAAAAATTAAAGATAATCATAGAATTTTTCCTTCTCTTACTGGCGTGTTTGCTTCTCTAGAAACTACATTGGGTTCCTCTTCTACTCTTGCTCTGGAGACTGTCATGAGAGATAACTAGTTGAGCGTCCTCTAATCCTATCATAGGCCAGCATGAGAATGTCAGAACACATGTTCCAAATGATGGATTAATAAAGCATAAGTTTGGGTTTAGTTTTTAAAATAAATATGTGTTGTGGAGTCTGAAAGAGCTCAGTAATATTATGCTGAGAGTCATTACAGAGCTGTGGTCAAAAATTCCTTAAGAACATTTTGTTCATTACTTAGAATTCTTGAATTAGAGCTGTTCTGACAGGTGCTTTTCAGCAAGTGAAGATCCATCTGCTAAAGCATACTGTTAATGAAAAAAATATGCAGGTAATTTTTAAATTTTTGTCCACAGTCTAATGACCAGATTGAGATTTTCATCATGAGTCAAATGAGAACTGTTACTTGATGAAATTAAGCACAAAATAGAAAAATATAGAAGCAGATACCTATTTATAAACTGTTAGAGCACAGACAATAAAATAAGTTTTCTCAGCTGTGGGTCCTAATCTTGTTTTATAGACAGTAAAGACCCTAGTAGTGGAGAAGTTGTTTTGCATCCATGTTATACTCCACAATCACTTTCCCACAGTATTTCCTCAAGTTTCTTTGGTACAATCAGTGACTCAACCTATGAAGATTCTCAATCAGGTATAGTCCATCTCTTCACTTTAAACACTTTGATCTCTTGCCACTGCTTTTCAGCTTAATGCTTTAAAGAGATATATTTCACGTTTGTAACCTTTGCCTGAAATGCTTCTGCACATACAATCAATGAATACTGGGGAGGCTGTCCTCTCCTGTAACACCATGGGAAACGTGGCCTAGACTATAAAAGCAGAAAAAACTGTCCTTCCTGGTAGCCAAGTAAGTGGAAAGCAAATTAGTCAAGCCATTAAAAAAAAAAAACCAGTTAAGGTCTCATTTGCAATTAACGTATCTGTGGATGAGGCAGTAGAAAAACTGAATTGAAAAACTGAACTTTTTAAACTGCTGAAAAAACCTAAGGGATTAGTTGCTAAGAAGGGCATTGTTTCTGTAGTCATGGACTAACCAACAGTATACACTCTAAATGTGCTATGTCCTGCAAAGGTCTGGTTGTATGCTCTGGTTAGACTTTTGACATGTTTATTGCACTTATGAATTACTGCCTAAGAACCACCCTTGTCTGTGGAGCTCAGTTAAGGTGCTGTTCCATCTGAACTAGGAGTTAGGATTCTACTCTTGTGGATCTGCTGATATGTGTGTGATCATTCTCTAAGGTATTGCCAAGACAAATAGGGGTAGTTAAACAGATTAAATAGTAGCTCTTTACCAACATGATTCATTTTTAGTGAAATGATGCCAGAAGACTTCAAAAGAGCAACTCACTTTTAGGTGTGAAAAGGCAACAACCTCTGGCAAAGGTGTCAGAGACAAGGTGGGAAAGTAATCTTGTCAGCTGGCAGAACTGCATAAACTCAGGTCTGACTGCAATGTCATCTTATAAAGGATGTGTATCTTTTCTCCATAGTGTGTTGTTTTTTCTTAAACCTTAACAAGATTTTTAAAGTTTATTCACTAAGGTATTAGTTTTATTTATGCATCATTTATTGAAGCATTAAATCTGCAACTGTAGCATTAAAATCCAACTTTGAGCATGGAATTATCCAAGTTATTTGTGCTGTGAAGAAAACAGTTTCTTGTTATCTTAGTTGTGTTTTATGCAATAATATTGTTGTTGATGTTTTAACATCTAATAACTGTGAAAATATATAATCTAAGTTTTGACCAGGTCAGAATTTAGGAGCGAGAAGGACTAACAGAGGGGAGAAGGTTCAGAGGCTTACAGATTGGGATGTAGGCTTAGTTGTACCCATAAAATACTTATAAACTGTTTGAGCCTGTCAGCTACTGAGCCATGCTGTGTGATTGACTAGCTGGTAAAGCTATTCCTACTGGAACTGTATGTAAGAATGTTTCTTTAAGATTGCTATGAGTGGTTTTGTAAGCCATGCCTCAATTTTTTTCTGATCGGTTAATAATTTGTTCTATTCCCGGGGCATGTACATGTCACTTAAACTGTTTACTCCAGAAATAAATCAATTGTTTATTGTCTGACAGTTTTTTGTTTTCTGGAACAATTGTGCGTAAAAAAGTAAAATTGTTTTTGTACTAGGCAAACGTAGGGAAATAAGGATTCTCTCTGGATTCTTTTTTTGTGTATCATTTAGAGTCAGACACTACTTTTGAAAGTGAGAGTGACGAAAAGATGAGTGAAGAGAGTGAAGCTGACAGTCAAAGGGATGGGAGAGAAAATAAGTTTGAATTATTATTTTTTCCTGATGAAGACAAAGAGGAGTACATCTTCTTTCAGAAAACCCTGACTGCTGTTAAGAATTGGTTCACTCTCTTTGGTTGGCCTAAAGGACAAAATCCTGTTTCGATCCCACATTCACTAAGACGGTAATTCATCTCTGCTTAGAGCTAACTTAGGTCTGCCTAACAAATGTCAGCATATATACTAAAGTGTTTTGGGTATGATCTGGGGAATATAAACACACTCTAATGCACAGTTGTATATTTAAATTGTAGCAATTATGTGCTGTTTACATAAAAATGTCATTGAGGCGTTATTTTTAAATTTCTATAATAGATTTCCAACTATGATGCTCTGATACAGATGCGAAGGCAAATTTCACAATCAACAATCTTACAAACACCCTGGAAATATATCACTCTTAGTGACATTGCTTAGTTGATCTTATCTAGCTTGCTTCTAAATAGTGAAGCCAATCTCCTGGGACACAAATACATAGGCACTTATAAACATGATAGAAATCAAAGTCATGTTTGGCAGAAAGCAGTGACAAACACAATTTATTTATGAAGTATTCCATATATACTTATTAAATATTCCATGCAGTGTAAAATTCTCATATTATTATAAAGGTTCTGTAAAAAGGAAAAAGTGCTATACTTTTCAACCTTCTTGCTGCTGTTTTTACTCATCATTGTGAGATATATATATATATATATATAATGTTAGCTCGTTTTGTGTGTTTGAAAGTATACTGTTGGAATCTTTCTCTCTTAGTGATGTGTGTAAAGTCCACATGACCTCCGCACAAGACAAGGTTTTTAAACAAAACGTTGGCAAAGATCCTGAGACTGTTTATGACATGTTATTCCATCTGAGTGGACAGTTGTTACCAGGCATTACTTGGAGCCAGCCATTGCCCCTTGATCCAGTTGAACGAATGTTACAGCTCCACTGGCAGCGTTCTACATTGCTTGCTTTCCTCAAGTAAGTACGTGGATGATAAAATACACATGCATGCATCTTTTCTTCCCACTTTTTTTATTAACATGGTTCAAACACAACTCCAACTGAACAATATACAGTAGGTTCCTTTATACTGTATCTTTTGTAATCTAAGATTTATGTATTATAAACGTTACTTAGTTTTTTTACAAGGTGTTCCTCTGTGAACTGAAGTATCCTTTTGTAGGGCTATATCTAACACAGGAATTCCACAGGAGCTCTGCTCCTTTACTTACCAAAGAGAACTCTCAACCTTATTCCTTGGACAGACTCAGTAGCCAGTCAGATTGGGTTTGTCATTAATAATCTTACTGTTCCCCTGGTGCCCTTTGTACTGTAATTACTGGCTTTAGCAAAGATTTTGTAGACTTACTTTGTAAACTATTAGCCTTTCATATTAATAATATGCCAAGAAAGTTAAGCACTACTCCTGCTGCTGAACAGATTTAGCTGTTAGCTAACTTCATTGATAATCTTACCATGTCACATAATATGGAACAACTGTCAAAGTTGTTCTAAATCAAAAAAAGGTTAATAAGCGCTTCTTCATCCTTCTTGGCTGTCACTGCTGTGAAACAGAGAATAAAAAATAACTTCAGAAAAAGATTATACTTCAGATCCTTAGAGAATCACATATCATCTTTCCTTCTTTTTAGCATCCTCACCTAGTGTTCAAGAGGCTGTAGAGCCATTTAAAAACTATTTTACATACTATTCTAGATCATTATTTTCAGATGAAAAGATTGTGACAGTGTTGTAGCTGTATCTGAACTCATACTGAGACGAATGCACGCTGCTACAACAACACTGGACCTTAGTGTGCGACTTTCATTCATATCATTTGTTTTAAAAAAGAGGCAGATTAGCATTCTTCTGTGCATTGTAGATAATAATAGTGACAGGTGATTTGGAGGAGCCATTGCAGCAGTGACAGAAAAATATCTTTGCCTTTCTTGAGTAATGAAGAGCAATATTTACAGATTCTTATTGTTTTCACAACTTCAACATCCCTTCTGATAAATAAAGGAATCAATGGATGCATCCCATTGTATTTTCCCATTGTATCTTAAAGGCTTGAGTCATTAGGCAGTGGACTGCTGAAGAATCTCTTGGCATCATAGGAATTGAAAGCTCTCACAAATACCACCCTGCAGATTCTTCTTCTGAGGGAGTGTTGTGCCCTTCCAGAGAGCAAGATATTGAGTATGTGGTGTTATAGATTCATGGAATTGTTGATGTTGAAAAAACCCTTTAAGATCATCAAGTCCAACCATTAACCTAACACAGCTAATACCACCACTAATCCATGTCCTTCAGCCCCTTGTCCACACATCTCTCAGATACCTCCAGGGATGCTGACTCAACCATATCCCTGGCCAGCCTGTTCCAGGGCCTGACAACCCTTTCACTGAAGAAATTTTTCTTGATATACAATCTAAACCACCCCTGGTGCAACTTGAGGCCATTTCCCCCTGTCATATCACTTGTTACTTGGGAGAAGAGACCAACACCCACCTCTCTGCAACCTCCTTTCAGGTAGTTGTAGAGAGCGATCAGGTCTCCCCTGAGCCTCCTCTTCTCCAGGCTGAACTACCCCAGCTCCCTCACAGGACTTGTTCTCTATACCCCTCACCAGTTTTGTTGCCTTTCACTGCACATGCTCCAGAACAACCATGTCTGTTTTGTAGTGATGGGTCCAAAACTGAACACAGTATGATATGATGCTGAATGGTTGCCTGAGTAGATTCAAGAAATTTTTTTTATTTATCTAATCAGAATATAGTTATCTTTCTGAAGTCAGATTGTCAAAAAACTTACTTGGTTCCAACCCAGGGAAAGTTATTTCTGTTTCCACTGCCTTAGGCCTGTTTTTAAGCTAATACTCTGCATAACTTCTAGGAGAGTGGTCGAGAATAACTTCCAGTACATGCTGCCTCTTCTGAACCCTCTTAAACTTGTTGTTTCATTAATCTTTATGTAGTCAGCTGGATTGATTCTGCTCAGTTCCTATTAAGCCGTAAGTTTCTAATTACTTTTCAAGGGTGGAGCTGATATGCTTTTCAGAGCCTTTCACTCTTCAGTGTGGAGTTTTACAGCCCTAACTCAAATGAATCTAAACTTTAATTTTGGTCTTTTAGAACTGATGTTTCTTCTGTCTAGCTTAAAGTATTTTAATATCTTCTCTGTAACTCATTGGTTATTGGATGAGCTCAGTACAAAGGAACCAAATTAAGATGATTTCTCATTGGATGACAGTGACACTTACCATCAGCCATCCTCTATGTTTGAGCATTACACCCAGTATCTCTGAATATACCAGAAAGTCTTCTTGCCCATTATCAGCTCTGGGAAACACTTTACTTCACCCTGATCGTGTCAGGTGGCTTAGTCAGACAAGGTAAATGCTTACTGAATGTGGATAGAGTGGTGCGTATGCTGTGAAGCTGAGAGTATACTTGTTAGTATGACTCAGTTTACTGACTCATTGCACCTGAGAGAGAATGTCTCCATACATTATTTTTCTCAAGTTTATTTGTTGTAAAATGTAAACAAAACCATTTATGTATAGTGCTGAAAATGAACAACGTAAGTGGAAATATTTCTTCAAAATATAAATGAAGAAATGAAAGAGCATCATTACTCTACTTACATTAAGGTTGTACCAGAAAGGTCTTCTGAAATACCTTACTATGTTTATATTCTGCAGCTTCTGGCAAGGAGGCAGTCAGGTTTCTGTCCTTTTGCATACCTTATGCTTGAAGCTACCCCTAACAAAGTCTGTTCAGGAGCTTCCATCAACAGACATTTCTTTGAAGAGTTTTCATGTGATTCTTTTATAGCACTCCTAGATACAATCAACATTTTCTCCTGGTGGAGTGTGATGACTCTTATGTCCAGTCTTCCCGTTGAGATTTTGCAGAGAATATAGGCATCTTGAAACTAACATGTTGTTAGTTGCTTACTTTGAAACGATGATGAGTTCTGGGGTAAGTGGATTCTAATCCCTTTTGCCAAGCATAACAGCAATTGGAAAGAAATACTTCAGTGTTTCTCAGGTCGTTTCTTGGACAATTTGGAAAGCTATTTAATAGCCAAATTTTAATCAAAGCCTTTGGACTTACTGGGTGTTGTCTGTTAACTCTCTGACATATTCAGAGCAGAATTGGAGCAGCAGCCAATTGGTCAAGGTTAAGCTTGAGAGCCTGTCTACACAGATACATTGACTGATGATTGGAAATGAAGTAGTTATCCATGGCAATCCTAGAAAAAATGATACAGGTTGCTGTAGAAAAGCAGTGCTAGCTGGACTCCTGTGCTTACATGTATTTGATGCTATGTGATTAAATCAGTGCTCAGTATGCGCTTAGCATTACTATATCCTATTGTTTCTGCCTTTTCTTGTTTGCATGAATCCTGTCAGATTTCTTCATTGTTCCTGATTTATAGATATTCTTTTCCTACTTGTGCATTTCAAGAACACCTAGAATACTTGCTTTTCTTCACAGCTTGTTATTTGAGAATGTTTATTGATCATGGTACAAAAATGTCTGTATCTGCACTGCTGACATGAATGTATGTCACGGTGGTAAGACATCCAGAGCTAGCCATACATGAGTAATTAACCTGTGATCTGCTAGCCCTGCATGCTCACTGTAATTTTTGGAAAATAAAAATTCTTTCCTGAAGAAGCCCAGCAGAGAATAGAAATGTGCAGTTCTCAGCTTTCTTTCTGCAACCACTGCTTTCTGGTCAACATGGTTCAAGTAATGCATGATTCATCTTTCAAATTTTCCATGTGCTAAAGCAGGTGGATGTTGTTTGCTGTTTCAAGCATCTTTCTCAAGGATCAGCTTTATTTTCCTTCCCTCAGAATGTTTCTTTGGTACATTACCACAGCAGTAAAGGAGAAGTTTGGATATTTTAGTGTGACTAATTTGTTGCAAGCTGTGTGTCTTGAGGAAGAACATCTTAACAGTCTGAAAATACTGATCTTGGAGAACTGCTGTCATGTTAAATAATGACCTTAATGAGGATGAATTTTTTTAAGACAGTGCTCCTCAATAACAAAAGGCAACCAGTTATGGGAACAGTGATATAGAACCCACCTTTATTATGATGACATATAACATTGTTCTATAGCTCTTCTGAGGATGACAACTGTAGATTAGACCTATTTCCATATGTGTACCGAGTAAAAACATTGAAAGAAGATAGGACACTTGGATGAATGGAACACGAACTTCATAAATAGAAGCTGTCTAAAGCAATTAACAGAACTTGATCATTAGTCCAAAGTGTGCTGAGATAGAACACAGAACTTGCACGTAGGTTGAGCAAGTTGAAAAACTTGGACTGCTCTTAAAGAATTATCTTTTTTATCTGTTAATTTTTCCTGCTTTATGATTTTAGAAGCCAAGGGGCATATCTTCCTCATGTTATGCCAGAATTTCTGCTTGAACTTGATGATTATAAGAAATGGATTAAAGTGCAAACTTTACAGAAGGTAGGTTTGTGGCTTTTTTTTTTTTTTTTAACAAAATCCACATGCTTAGCATCAGTCCTATGAAGACTGATGGAAGTCTTCTGTGTATCACGAGTATTCCTACTGTGCTGACTCTTTCGGATTGTATAAATCTAAGCACGTGCATGAGTTGATCAGAAATTTAAACTGACACCAACACTGACACCCTACTCCCCTGTTTTTTCTCTTCCATTCCTTCTGACATTGCTGATGCCTGTGATTAATTTCTAACAGATATGCTTTCTGAAGGCAGAATTAATTTTACTGCTTTCTACTGTTTTTACTATTAAAAAAAAATATCCTATGTGTTGTCTCTTTGTCTTGGTTGCTGCTTTCAACTCCCGTCAATTCTATGTTGTTCTTATTCCGGAGATAGTGGCACACTGTAAATGGTTCTAATGCTGTTTGCTATTGCACTGAGGTAGATGTTATCAGTCATTTATGCCATGGATTCATTATTGTCCTCTTGTGAATTTCCTGTCCAAACCTCTGAAATGAATATTGAAAATAAATCCCATTCCTTAATCTCAAGGGTCACAAGGCTGGGCTGACAAAAGGAGCTGTGAAAAACTCAGACCTACTTAGTGACAAACACCTATTCATTCTAGAGGACAGCGTATTTGAGACAATGAGCAAACGAGCTTGGACAGATGTGTTACTGCAGGTATACAAGGTAAACTGTAGATACATTTACTACTTAAATTATGAAGAAGTGATGGCAAAAAAAGTTGGTCTTGAATGAGAGATGTGGTATATTCTCTTTTTTTCCCCAAAGAGTTTTTTAGAACTAAATAATTTTTAAGTAGTTTATTTCTCTATAACAGAGAAGAAAAAATGAGTGAGAACATTTTCATTTCCTTAGTTCTGAAACTTTAGCAGTGTGTTAATATGTTTGAATTAGGGAATGCTGTGCTAAAATAGCCTGCATTTTGTAGGATTGTTACAGAAATCTTTTCTTACAAATAAACAACACTCTTCCATGCTATTTGTTATCCTGGTTAGAAACACTTTTCACTGGAGATACTTAGTTAACCAAGCATATACTCAACCATGGTACTTATTATTTTAGAATGGAATTTTGAAACAGATAAGCATTTTTATAATACCTTTTCCTTTTAAGGTATAATGGACTTGGTCAGTATGGACTTCTCAAATTTCATTAAATTTCATTTTTACTGATGTTAGATAAACATTTTGGATGTCTAAATCATGTTTTCAAAGTAAATGTGATGTGCTCACCAATGATAAGGAATGTTCAATAATGTTTGTATGCCTAAAAATAAATATTTGCTTATTTCTATTGAAATGAATGGAAAGTAAATGAAAATTATAAATATTATCTGAGTTTCCCAGTAAAAGAAAGACATGGACATGCTGGAATGTGACCCCAGTGAAGGGTCTCAAAGATCATTTAAGAGCCTGGAACATCTGTCATGCAGGCAGTGACAGCGAGCTGAGACTGTTCAGCCAGGAGAAGAGAACATTCAAGGGGTATCAATGTGTGTAAATACCTGATGGGAGAGTGTGAAGGAGACAGTGCCACACACTTCTTGGTAGTGCCTAGTAACATGGTGAAAGAGAGTAGGCACAAAGTGAAATACAGGAATCAACAGTTAAACATAAACTTTTTTACTGTGCTGGTGTAGAAGTTTGTGGAGGACTGTATCCCATGGGTGGGACCTCATGCTGGAGCAGGGGAAGAGCAGGAGGAGTCCCCTCTGCCCCAAGGAGGAAGCAGTGGCAGAAATAATGTTTGAACTGATGGCAACCTCTGTTCCCTGTCCCCCTGTGAAACTGAGGGAGAAGTAGGGTGAAGTTGAGCCTGGGATATAGGAAAGGGTAGCAGGAGAGCGTTTTAAGGTGGTTCTTATTTTGGACTACCCAACTCTGATTTAGACTGGCAATAAATTTAATTAATTTCCCTAAGCTGAGTCTCTTTTGCTTGTGACAGTAATTGCTGTGTGATCTCACTGACTATATCTCAGCCAATGAGCTTGTCATATTTGTGTCTCGTTGTCCAAGTGAGGAGGGGACTGATAGAGTGGCTTGGTGGGCACCTGGTCTTCAGCCCACAGGTATATTGGGAAATATACTTTAAATATTAGTTAGTAAGTTTTTCATTTTTTATTGTTAGTTGCTAGTCTCATCCCCTTCCACTGCTGCCGCTTCGCTGCCTTCTTGTCCTCTTCTGCTGCTTGTGCTGCTGCCTCTTTATCTGTTACTTCTTTTGCTTGGCCTTTTTCTGTTTCTGTTGCTTTCTGCTTCTGCTGGTTTTGCTTTTGCTGCTGCTTTTGTTTCTGCCTCTTTTGCATTTGCTGCGTCGTCTGCTTCTTCCTTCTTCGTTCTCCTTCAAAGAATTAGTCCTTAACAAACAAATCCTAAATTATCTCTGAATATATGGAACTATGGAGTTGATGCAGTATTCTTGTTAGTCACTGGTCAATGCGGTCAGCCCTAAGACCTCTTTTATGAGGGAGGATGAAACCAAAGCTGTTGATTTTAACATAATCCTGTAAATCAAGTTCTCTGTTTCTCCTTCAGACACATTTTCTATGCTGTCATTTCAGTTGGGGAAAAAAAGTCAAAGGAATTGTGTAGAGGTTTTACTTTTAAAATCTATATATTTCCTATGTATTTTATATACATATGTTTATATATTTCTTTTAAATATATGTTCATGCTAGACTTAACCAAGGACCTCTGTGTACCATGAATTTTATTGTATGCATTATAACATTTACTATTTCAGGAGAAACAGTCAGTGTAATTTGGACCTAAATGAGCAACTGGGTCATGAAAGATACAATTTCAAGATCGATCTCACTAGAGATCAGGAGAGTAGTTCAGTAATTAGTGCTTTGCCTAGAATACACACAGTAATTATAGGAATCCAGACAGCTCCAGTGATTTCACCCATTTCATCAAAAATTGGAAAAAAAGTTGGAAACAAAAAATATTTAGTATCATAGAGGATCTCAGTTTTGGAAAGGACCCATAAGGATCATGAAGTCCAGCTCCCTTCTCCTCACTGGACTACCTGAGACTAAACCACATGAGTAAGGGCAGACACTCTTTGGGGACCCTGTTGTCGTGACTGACCACCCTATCAGTGAAGAACTTTTTCCTAATGTCCCCTGATGCAGTTTCATTCCATTTCCACGTGTCCTGTTGCTGGTACCCAGAGCCCCTCCACTGACCCCTTGAGGAAGTTGCAGACTGTGATGCGGTCACCCCTCAGCCTTCTCCAAGGTGAACAAACCAAGTGACCTCAGCTGCTCCTCCGAAGTCTTGCCCTGAAGGTCTTTCACCGTCTTGGTCACCCTCCCCTGGACACACTCCAAGAATTTGATGTCCTCCTGCTATTGAGGTGTCCAAAGCTGCACACAGTGCTGGATGTGGGGCCACACCAGTGCAGTGCAGGGTGGGACAACCATCTCCCCGGACTGGCTAGATATGCTGTGCTTGCTGAACACCAGGACATAGTTGGCTGTTTTGGCTGCCAGGGAACACTGTTGACTCAGGTTCAAGTTTCCATCAACACAAATACCCACATGTCTTTCTGTGGGGCTGCTCTCCAGTCTCTCATCCCCCAGTTCATATGTATAAGCAGGATTACCCTGTCCCGTGTGCAGATCTGGCACTTGCTCTTGCTAATTTCACATGGTTGGTGATTGCCCAGCTCTCTAGTCTATCCAGATCCCCTTTTAAGGCCTCTCTACCCTTGAGGGAGTCCAAAGCTCCTCCCAATTTAATATCATCAGCAAACTTAATGTACATTTCTTTCCTTTGTGAAAATCACTTATACAAACTTTAAAGAACACTAGCCCTAAAATTGAGCCATGGGGAACCCCATTGGTGGCTAGATGCCAGCCTGATATAACCCCATTTGCTGTAACCCTTTGAGCCTGACCTATCAGCCAATTGTTCACTCATCATATAATGGATTTGTCTAGCTGTATGCTGGACATTTTGTCCATAAGAATACTGTGAGAGACAGTATCAAAAGCTTTGCTAAAATCCAAACCCACCACATCTATTGGCGTCTCTTGTTCAATTAGATGGGTGACTGTCATAAAACGAAATTAAGCTGATTAGGCAGGACTTTCCCCTTGCTAACCCGTGCTGGCTATGACCAATGACTGCATTGTCTCTCAAGTGTTTATCAACAACTCCCAGAATAACCTTCTTCATAATTTTAGCAGGCACTGAAGTGAGACTTACATGCCTGTAACTTCCAGGGTCTTCCTTCTTTCTTTTCTTGAAAACTGGAACATTTGCCAACTTCCAGTCGACTGGGACCTTTCCAGAGTCCCAAGAACACTTAGAAGTTTCAGTTTGCATTTTAAGAAAAGAAAGAAATACCCTAAACCCTCAGCAAATCTGTGCTCTTGTTATGCATTTAGGCTAATGTGTAATCTCTTAACCTTTTCTAAATTAGAAAACTGTCAGAGTTTAAAGTGGGGATTTTTATCATTCAACTTGAAATTATTCTTTTTACAGTTCGTTCTTAGAAACGAATATTTTTTTTTCTAATTTCAGGTATTTGTTCTTCCACGTGTTTCTTCATGTGATATCACTGATCTGTTCAGCTTGGAAAGCATGCAAAGCATGCCAAGAATAAAGTCAGAACCACTATCCAGTAATATATATTCTCCATATGAACGAGCCATCCTCACCTGGTTGAATAAACATTATGAGAAGAATCGAAAAACCGTGTGGAAAGATTGTCAAAAAGGTGAAATAAGTCTTTCACGATACTCCTCCTCCTAATATTCCTTGTGTAGACTTTTAAAATTTTTATTTGTAGATATATTGTGACAACTTGCTACTGAAGGTTTTTTCTGGGGGAGAAATTCTTGTTAATCCGTACGTATTTCCTTTCCTTCTGTTTCTGTGTTCAAAGATCAGCATCTTTTGACTAGCACTGTTTGTGAAATATTTCTGTTCTGTGTGTTCTTATAGTCTCTAACGAGGCATGAAGGGTGAATTGTGGTCAAGCTTTTCACTTTCTTCTTTCCATTCATGGTCTCAGGAAGGAAGTGCTAACATTAGTCACTTTCTCTTAATTTTCCTGTCTGTAGTCACATGCAGTTGTAAGTATTTGTGCTTGTAGTGGTGTGTTTGAGAACAAGATTATGAGAATTTTTTGAATAATTTTTGTATTGCTTTAGTCTAATGCTATTTTTTAAGATAATGGAGACCAAGGTTCCAGATTATAAATCTTGCCCTACTAGCATGGTCAGTTTGAGACCTCATGATCGCTCTGGAAGGTTAGGCAAAATGAGCTGTTCTGTTTAAGACTGACCTAGGCAGTCCTGATATTCAACTCTGATAAACTGTTTAAACAGCAGTAATTATTACTATTTCCTTGCATGATTTCTCCTGTTTGCTTCTTGACCCTAACTTCATTGTCTCAGCATTAATTTTGGATGGGTAGTTAACACCACAAAAAGGCAGTCTGAGGATGATCGGGGAAGAACTCCAGAAGAATGGCTCACAAATCATATATGGAAAAGATTATCTAGTGTCATTTTTGCCTTGAGTGATTTCTGACCTATCTGAATTATGGATAATGTATTTGCATATCACCTTCCATAAGTGTTACTTGAGCATATTCTCTACCTTGCATATGCTTTGTATATCCTATTGTTTTTCTCATTTTGTCTGTATAGAAGAAATGATACTAGATATTCTCAAATGTGTTGAATAATTCTGCTGATAAGATTGAGAGGTCAGTCTGCATCCAATAGCAACAGATTTCTAGCTGTCAGCTCGTAGTTTGGGTCTGATCTTATGATTAACTCAGGGAGCTTCCCTCACTAAAGTAACATGCCTTATAGCAAGTAGGTGCATTTGCAATATATTATTTTTTTATTATGGATGTCTAGTGCCTACCTTAGTGGAGCTGTCTTACAGTCCCTAGCACTCCACTCTGCTAGGTGTTATCTGAGGCCTGTGTGTATAGATGACAACTTGCAGAGAGAATGACTAGCAACCTGGCTGGAGTTGTGACTCACCATAAGTGCTGCATATATGTATTCCTCAACCCCACTGTCTGTTCTTGTCATTGTAGACTCTAGTAATACATAGGTGTTGAGGCATGGCTGTTCTGGCCTGTGGGAACTTGGTGGGAAGAATATAAAAATCAAAATGCAACTTATTTAACATTAAACTATTACTTGAATTCTAATGTCTAAAGGTGAGTGGAATGAATCTGAACCATGAAGTGCAGATCTAGTGAACACTACTGGGCAAAAAACCCCAAATGTCTCAGTCCAGTCTCAGAGGAATATCTATTGATGATGCATTTTAAGGAGCCAGTTATTGAAAGCGTTGTGTCAGTTGCCTAAGAGTTTGTAACAAATCAGAATATTAAGAAGAGTGGATTTTTTTAAATGAGTTGTCATATAGTTATCAGCAAGTAGGTTTGTTTACAATATTTATTTCTAAAGGCTCCTCAAAATTGGCACCCAAAAAGAACAATTTATTTACAATATTGGGGCTCTCAGAAAGTATTAATCCCTTTTATTAAATCATGCTAACAGGACAGATAACTCAGTGGGCTAATGTTTCCATTTGTGCAGACCTGGTTGCAGATTTGGCTGTGGGTCACACGTGAAGATGAATTTTGTGGTTACTTCCAGGGGACATTTATCTGTATTACAATTCTCTCTTCTAATTTCTCTTGATTATACTTTTCTGCTTTCAGAAAAGTGTGAGATTGGAATGAGAAGGCAGAGATTTTATATGCTTTCTGTGTGTGAGAAGTTATAGGTACTACCTTGCTCTATCGGCTTATATATAGCATTTTGGTTGATGAGTTCTATATTCTGTTTGCTAGAGAACTACAGAAATAGCTTGGTGTATGCACATGAGCATGCCCTTTTTTTTTTTTACTTCCATTTCCATTTCTCTTACAAAGCTACATAAAAGAGCATTGCTAAAGTTACAATCATTTAAAAAATATGATAAAATTTTGACAAATTATGAAATTCATAATCTTAATCTTATGCATCTGCATTATACATTTTTTTAACTGTATGATATTATACTGTTCTGTTCCACTGATGACCTGCCTCAATATCTCTTTTAATCCCCTGTTTTAGCTTTCAGTTTCTTCTTACTTTTTTTTGCCTTTACTGCCTAAAAATGAATCTGTGTCTTCTACTGTGCTGTTCTTTCTGCTAAAGGGGACAGATGGTTTGATGACAAAGCACACAGAAAAGACTGAGGTACTCAATGCCTTGCCTTGATCTTTACTCTTAAGACTGGCACTAAGCAATCCCAGGCCCTTGAAATGAGTGGGAAGGTCTGGAGAAAGGAAGACTTAACCTCCATGGAGGAGGATCAGGTTAGGGAGCAATTAAGTAGACAAACACAAGTTTGTTGGACCTGATGGGATGCACCAACAGGTGTCGAGGGAACTGGCCCCTGTCATTGCAAGGCCACACACAGTAATCTTGGAAAGGCCAGGACAATTGGAGGAAAGCTTGGAAGAGATTTGGAAGAAAGCACGTCATTCCTATCTGGAAGAAGGAGGATCCAGGAATCTACGGGCTGGTCAGCCTTCTCTTGTTTCTTGGTATGAGAATGGAGTAAATAATCTTGGAAACCGTTTCCAAACATATGAAGGGCTAGAAATTGTTTGGGAGAAGTCAGCATGAATTTACAAAAGAGAAGTCATGCTTGACCAACTTGATTGCCTTCCACAATAAGAGTAGCTCAGTGGACAGGTGGAGAGGGGTGGATGTTGTTTATTTCAACTTTGACAAGGCTTTCACAGCCCCCTGTAACATCCCCATAAAGAAACTGATGAATTACAGGCTACATAAGAGGACAGTGAGGTGGACTGAAATTAGGCTGAACTACCAGGCTCAAAGGATTATGGTCAGTGGCACAAAGTCCAGCTGCAGTCTGGTCAGCAGTAATGTACCTCAGGTGTCATTAGACTGAATATCTTGTTTTTAAGATTATACACTGGAGGAGAACTTGCATATCTTGTCAGATTTAATATTCTGGTATACTATCAGTCTTTTAAATTTTATGATATTAAGATTAATCGTCAAATTCAAACTTAGGTACTGTGGTATTTTAATCATGTTAGCCTTAAATTAAGCATTTAAACAGAGTTTTTCAGAGGAACAGTTAAAAGTGTCATAAAGAAGAGCATCAAATTATAGTAAATGTGGAAACAACCCTAATGAAAGTCCCAAATAGCCTCAATTTTCTATAAGTTTTGGTTGTTATTATTTGCATAATATTACTGATTTTAAGAGGAGAATTAGTTCTTTTATTCTTTCTACAGTACAGATCAGAGTGCGATTACCACTTCTCACTTAACATTTATGTGCCTGAATGTTATCATCCAAACACTCTCCTTTTGAATAAAGAATTAGCCCTGACTAGCAATATGTCTTGACCATAGAGCTACTTTCAGCTCAAACTTGTCTGTTGGCTGATCCATTCATACTAAATAAATTAAGATCTATCGAGGCCACATTTCTCAGTCTTTCTCTAAGCTACTTGAAGTGAAGTGTGACAGTGAGCCAAGCCTAAGCTACTGCAGTCCAGAAATGTTTCAAATATACATCTTTATTACTTCTTTGTAAAGTGGAAGATAACTGTGTAATTCATCAGAACTCTTCTCTTGCACAAATTAAGATCTCAATAGCTTAGAGAGAACATTAGCAAAGAGTTTACTATCTCCACATCTTCTGTCCTTACTGCTACTAAAAAATAAATACGTTTTAAAAGCAGCTTGGCATGTTTTGGGAGGGCAGGCTTGTAATAGTCTTACTGAACATAAAACAGAAAGCGATGTTGAAACTTGAGACCAAATGCTGTAAAACTGCAAAATGCAATATTGCCTATTCTGCTGAGATCTTAATTATATATGAAATTTAAGATTCAGTGCCCACTTAAGACATTATATGGGCAATAGTAATGACAGGAGAGGAAGCATGAATTAGAGTGTAATAAATTTTCAGTTTACCTTCTACTATTCCCTATCTTTTTTTTTCAACATTTCTCTATGAAAGACTACCTACTAATAGTATGAAAATATAAAAGTCAGGAAAAACCCTTAAAAAGTTGCTAGAGAATTGGAATGCTATAATTCAAAACCTCTACTTCTTGAGCAGAAGACCATTTTGCAAATCAGTGAATTAAATTGACACCTGAGAAGCTGTATGTCTCTTCCCTATTAATTATAGTTCTTTCCTTGGTGAAAAAGGTAAATTATATTTTGGTAAATAAGTGACTTTCTTGAATGTATCCCAGGAAGATCTTCAAAAGAGTGCATAGTTTGACATTTAATATAAAATTATGAAAGAATATGACAGTGAGTAAACTGAACAATGGCTGAATAATTAAACTAAGACAGATTTAAGCGTTGTCTCCAGAGTAGATAAATCTTCATTTTACTGGAAAGAGAACTGCTAATCCAGCACCAATGTCAGTTTGTCTGGCTATGTTAGGCATAGTAATATCTTTCCTACTTCAGAGTAAGAATACTGAAAGTTTCATGCATGTTACTCACTTCAATGGAAGTAAGGTGGGGTTTTTTGTGTTTTTTTGTTTGGGTTTATATAAATGATTTTTTAAAAAAATTTGGAAATCAATTTAGCATGGCATGTGCACTAAACAGGTTGAGGAAGGAGAGATTTTAGCATGACATGACCTGTCTTCACAATGGTGTGTAAGAATGAAGTAGAACTCTTGTTTGTTTTAAAACTG